AGTGGCTGATGTAGCTACGGATGAAGCATCGCTGGCAACACTGGCGACAGAAGAGCTGGCTTCACTCAGGACAGATTGCGCGTCGGCATTGACAGTGCCTGACAGGAGGGCGGCGGCCGAGATGGCTGCAGTTGTTGAGAAACGCATGGTGGTTGCAGCAGATCGAATCGATCAATCAATCGGTTTCGAAAGAAGGATAGATAGGATGTGGAAAAGGAAGAGTCGACTGTGGTAGAAGACTGATGGGTGGGGGTGTGTTGCTTCCAGAGCTCTTCGAGATAAAGAGAGGAAGAGGAGAGCAGGAGGAGGAGGAGGATTAAATGCGGGAGGCTGAGGAGTTGCTTAATATTCGTTCGGCGGGAGGAGGTTGCCAGGTGGCCTTAAGTAAAATCTGGGGCAGGAGCTCGGCTGTGGTTCGACAGCCTGCCTCATCAACGGCATCGGATACAGTTCGAAGGACGGACTGACCAGGTATGTACGACTAGCAAGCAATGCCATGCCGTGCAGCAGCAGGGTGAATGTGAATGCGAGTGCGGATTTGGAAACGTGTCACGACCAGTCTTTCTTTGAGTTAAGTTGAAGGCAGGGGTTTCTCTCTTGTTCACTTTATTTTTTATATTATCTGCAATTCAGCATTCTTCGCACATTTCCCAGTCAGTCGAATTCGAGTTCAATGGCAGAGAGGGGAAAGGAAGAGAGAGGAGAGAGCCGCGCAGTAAGTCAGTCAGTCAAGTCGATCAGGCATATTCTGACCAATCATTGAGCTCCATTGGAGAGGTGATTGACGGGCATGAGCTTGGCTGGGCAGGGCAGGGCAGGGTAAGTAGGGGCCAGCAGGTAAGGTAAGGTAAGGTAAGGTAATTGTCACTCACTATGATAACATCAGGTCAAAAGTTACAAAGGTAATTAAAGGATACATATCTGTCGCCTCGTATATCTAGCCAGTTTGCTCTAGTCAGGAGGGAGCCCGGTGAGTAACTACTATTGCATCCCGTTGGTTGCTTGAACCTTTTTGAATCTCAAAATTGCTATGCACACCAAAAGCTTAATCATGTCCACGTCTCTCTCTTCATCTCTCTTCGTCCCTCTTCAGCATCCCCTTGTCTTGTTTGCATTTGACAGAGTTACGATGTACTGGTAGATGCAAGACCCGATGGTGCATTGCACAAAGTGACACTCTACTGTCCTGTATGTACTGTGCTAGAAGATTCCATGATTATCAGCTTCACCGCCTTCGTAAGATTACCCCACATCCCTCCCTCCCTGGTAAGGACTGTAGCCCCGTGGTGCGATCAGCCTCAAGTCTTTACGGTATCAATTCACTGCATCTGTTACAAGTAGAGGCAAGAACTACTTCGTGAATAGAGGAATTGATACCAGTACACCATCTATCAAAGAAATATTGCAAGTAGAATGATGCAGTTGCGAACCTGGACGCTGACTGGTGATTTCCGTCCTTGTCTTGATGTCCATGTGCACGTTTCGAGGTGGTTGGGTGGCTTTCGCTAGTGCGGGAGATCAGGACCCCGCGCCCGCGTCCAGATTATCTGCAAGTTTTTGAACCCCTCCACTCGCTCACTCCTTGCGCTTGACTCTGCAAACCTTTGAATCCCAGCAAACATAATCAACAACTAATAACAACTTCTCTTTTGCCAAAATAAATCCTTGCCAGAGATCTATAACCATTGCACAAAGCTACTTTTGGAACCTCTCTAACGACCTCTAATTCTTTACGGCATTCTCTCACAGTCCACCACAAGATGGACCCCTCGCTAGATCCAGCTCCGGCGTCAATAGACAACAATGACCAGCTCATCAAATCCAACGACCCCAAACACCCTGCAAATCTCATCCCCGAACTATGCAAGAAATTCTGGGGCTTAGGGTGGGTGACAGGAACTGGTTTGGACATCTGCCATCTATTTCCCAAAACCAATCTAACAAGTTTGCAGGAGGAGGAGCAAGTATTCGCGACGAGTATGTCTAGCACACCACCAAAAGAACCAGATTATACAGAGAGAAGAACCAACACTCACCCGTTCCAGGGACTTAGTCTATCTCGCACCATCCGGCGTACAGAAAGAAATGATGAAACCCGAAGACATCTACATCCTCGAAATGTCCAAGCAAGTCGACCCTAAGAAACGAATCTACCTCCGCTCCCCACCGACCTTCAAGCCCTCGCAATGCACACCACTCTTCATGGCCGCCTTCACCAAACGCGACGCAAGATGCTGTATCCACTCACACTCCCAATGGGCCGTCCTCGTAACCTTACTCCTTGAAGCCCAAGCCTCCCCTACCGACTCCAATTCCAACAAACTCTTCGAAATCAACAACATCGAGCAGATCAAAGCCTTCGGTCGTGGATACCAGAAGCAAGGGAATTTGGGATATCATGATACGCTACGTATTCCGGTTATTGAGAACACACCGTTCGAAGAGGACTTGACTGAGAGTTTGGAGGAGGCGATGGACCGATACCCGGATACGTATGCGGTGCTTGTTAGGCGGCATGGGCTTTATGTTTGGGGTGATACGGTGGATAAGGCGAAAGCGCAGGCTGAGAGGTGAGTTGGGCCGGTTTTTGGTCTGGGCAGTGCTGACGAGTTACAGTTTGGACTACCTCTTTCAACTGGCTGTTGAGATGCGGAAGTTGGGTATGCCATGGCTGAGTGATATTGCTTGAGAAGGTATTTCAACTGGAATCGAGAATGTACACCATTTTGGTATAATTTCAGTGGGAAGGTAACCCTCTGGCCAAGGAAGCACAACACGGGAAATCAATGAGCTTGTTCAACCCGAGCCATGTATTCCGATCGTTGGTTTGGATAGTAGGATCTACTTTTGAAGTACGATCCCTCCGCAAAAATAAACAAATCGCCAGTAGTACGTACCGATTCTCACTGAATAGAATGTCCAAAATAGCGACGATACCCCAAACTCGCAGAATTTCACGAATACCAAACATCTCAAAGACACCTCATTGGCTCTACCCTTTCATGTTCCAAGATGAGTGAGAACCTACCACTTATACGACACTCCTTCTGATCGTCACGATACTCAAGACAAGCCAGCCAGCTCATTCTCATTTCCAAGCCTCCTCCTCATACCCATCCATCAACTCAACATACTCCCTCCCAGCCCCCGCCCACCCCGCCACCCCACCCTCAAGAGTAACACTTTTCATCTCCTTATCCCCCCGATCCTTGATAAAATCATCAAACCAACCCGCTGCTCTTGAACCTCTCCCCTTGGAAGACCCTGCAAAAAAGTTCTGCATCAGTATCATCCACAGGAATGAGTACCAAGTAACTCAAGTGTGCAGTATTAGGTAGAGGAAACGAGGACGAGAGCAAAATAATTGATAAGAGGCAAGACGAACCGCAATACCAAACCACCATCTTCACGCCCGCAGCAGCGAAGATCTCATACAAAGTCGGGATCGTGGGGTATAGCGATTGGGCGGGTAGGTTTATAGAGGAGCGGATCGTACCGCCCTATTCTCGTTCTCTTAGTCATTCCGTTGCTATCTACTTCTACTTCCCTCACTCCTCCCTCTCTCTCACTTCTCTCTCACTTCTCTCTCACTTCTCTCTCACTTCTCTCTCACTTCTCTCTCACTTCTCTCTCACTTCTCTCTCACTTCTCTCTCACTTCTCTCTCACTTCTCTCTCGATCTCGATCTCTATGGGTTTCAGTCAAGCAAGATAAACAAACACGTACTACGAAATCCACCCTCCTCAAATCCACAAGCACGAAGTCTTTCACAGAGCGTTTCTTGGAAAGCATATCCAGCAACTCAAGTCTCGATATGGATTCCGGGCTCGTATTGCGAGGTGTTGGGAAGGCTGCGTGCCATGCTGGTTCTTTGGTTGGTGTTGCTGTTGTCATTTTTGAAGACGTGAGGGAGGTTAATGTTAAGAGGTGTTGTGAGAGTGGTTTAGGGGAGATGAAGTGGTGGGTCTTCTAAAGGGTAGTTTCTTGAGCATGTATTTCGAGATGGATTGGAGTGGTAGGTAGAGAAGGGAAGGGAGAAAGGGGGGAGTCGCGGTGGGTTGTATAAATGCTGTTAGAAGACGCAGAGAAGGCTAGACTGGTATGTCACCGCGTCGAGGCTATTGGCTAGAATGTGAGAGCTTCTGCTTGGCAGAGGAGTGGATTGGATTGGATTTACCATCACGAAGATACTGGTACAGAATACGTGCTTTCTCACGGGACTTGTGGTTGGACGGGCTGGGATCATGTGAAGATGGGGGAGGTTCTGGTGGAGTGGTGTGTAGTTGTTTGTGTTGGTGGTTCGCTTCCAACAAAGCAGCCACTCCGCTCACAAGTGTCTAGCTTCGCTTAACTTACTGTACATACTGCAGACAACAGAGCATAACCAAGTAGGTAGAACTTGAATTTGAGTTTGACGGGCCACAGTAAAGCAGGCTACTTAATTTTGTATCAGTTTTCAGAATCACAATCAAAGTTTAAGAAGAAACTAATTACACAGAAAGCACGGCAGAAAGCAAATAGTATAACAGACTGCTCGAAGAGTAGATTCCATGTTTATATACACTTCAAAGTATTATCATAACACACATAGAAGCTCTCCTCCCTCTCTTATAAAACCCTTTCAATTTGTGATCATCGTCTGCAAGTTCAGAGACCGCCGCAACGCTATCCAGTTCCTTCGAAGTAAACAAGCCGTCAACAAAACGAAGTCCTCTTAACAAGCAAACCTTAGAAGGATCCCACATGCCCTATCAGTCCCTCAAAATTAGCACTGTGCATTATTCCTTTATAATACTAACAACAACAGCAACAGCAGCGTCCATCAACCGCACTACCCAAACAATAAAGGCATCCCCTCGAACAACACCCTGACCCAGAAGAGCCACCTAACAATCAAAAAGCAAAACATCATTATTGAAAAAGGAAAAAATTAGGTCGAACAACGGCAACCGGCGCTTCCTTGCTTCCAAGACAACTCCGATTCCCGTTGTTCGACCACCTAGCCTCTGCGGGAGTCGAACCCGCGTCTCTCAACCGTTTCTCCTGATGATAGACATCAAGGAATTTGAGGGCTGGACGTGCTAACCACTACACCAAGAGGCCTGTTTGGTTAATAGAGGGAGACTTGCTTATTTTGAGTCTTGGACAGGATAGGGAATTGGTGCATGCTAAATGCTGGATTGGGAAGGGGTGGTGGAGGGTGATGTTCGAGGGATCTTGGAGTGGATGGGATTTGGTGACTTTATGGTGATGAGGGGATAAGCGAGGTTTGGGCTTTGAGGATAAGGGGATGAGGTGAGAGATGGTGTTTGTATTACTTTGAGATAAATAAGTATTTAATAGTGAAATTGACTTGATAGTAACTAAAGCTATGTTATGAAAAGCTCTTAAAGTGCCAAGCTTCCAAGGGGCTAAGATGCTTTCACCGTGGCGACATGAAAGTGTCTGCCAGATAACAAGATTCATCAGTAGACAGGACAATAATCACATCACTGCTTTGAAGAAAGGCAAATAAATGCCTTGTGCCTGTAGTAAATTTTATCTGCCATTGAAGCCTCTCGAAGTGGACTACTAGAAGAGGCTGTTAAACGAGACTGTCTTGTTGACCAAAACAAAACTTGTCCAAGTGCAAAGCAACAGACACGCACACAGCTGAGCTTCAAAGGTAAGATTTGGTACATTATTCTATTAGCATAGCATCAAAGAGAGTGTCCTTGAAGAAATATATGGTAGTAAGTAAGAAAAGAAAGTCCAGTTGAGGTAAAGAGTGGTAATGTTCCTACTACAATCCGAAGAGAAGGCCCTTAAGGATACAGTTTCGTTCCAGATCCTAAGTAAAAGCACATAACAGCAGGAAGCAAATTAATGTAACAATGGAAACAGAAAGGTGATTTAAATAATAGCAATAGAACGAACGTCTCCTTGTCGTGTTCCACCCAAACCAGACTCTCTATTTCGACTATCATGAATCCGAAAAACGCCAGCCCTCCGGAACGTATCAGGCACACCCTCCACATCCTCTCTCAGCAACAATCCGGAATCGCCCAGAATCCGTAAACACCATAGCTCATCAGCACCACCATCAAAATCCAAAAGCGCCCTCCCATAATGTTGATTGTCTTGACAGTCCCATTGTGCGAAAGCAAATGGTATCCGTGTCTCTACATCTAGAATATCATGAGAATGAGACCTCTTGATCAGCACTTTCTGCATAGATCCTCTGATCTTGAGACTTCCGCCGCTTAAAACCTGTCCGAATGGAGATTTTTCAGATTCGGGTGTGACGGTGCAGCTGAGGACTTTGGCTTCTTCATCGTCGGGAAAGTCAATAATTGCTTTCGACCAAGTGATAGGGCTATCGATGGCAGCCCAAGACCAACTGGGGGCACGGTATTCTAATGGTGGTGGCAGTGGTGTTGTCGCGAAATCCCGGCACCAGAGAAGAGAGTGGATGAGGTCGTTGCTCCACAGACCAGCTAGATATTTCTGGCCACTCAACGAAGCAATTTCCGAAGCGACGCCAGCGAGAGCTGGTAGCTTATCTTGAGCAACACTCAGTTGTCGTTTTGAATACTCTTTCACAATATCTCTCCATAGCTTATTGAGTTCTTGAGACGGCTTGGTGAAAGGTGAGTCCCAGCGTCGTTTCCGGCTTGCTGTTATGGTCTTGCTGATCGATAGCATTTTCAAATTTCTTCGCATCTGGCTCACGATGTCTAGTGTTGATCGATTGCCTCCGCATTCCCATGCCATTCTTGTTGAAGAGTAATATAGGACTCGGGGGGACAGGATTCGTTCTTGAAGAGTCCATCCGCGTTTTGACCATGGCGAATCAAGGAGCATTGTAGTAGGTGTGTCGTCACACAATTGCTCAAACTGGTTGTAACCTTTGGTACAGGTCAAACACATCGGATTTGGGTCTTCTGATTTTGGCTTCTCAGTAAGGGACCGGTTGCCGCCAGATTCGGCATTCCCATCACCGGCCAGACAGATGGTCAGACTGCTATGAGAGTATATCTTGTGCATTTGGGATGACTCTGAGACCCAGTCTTCGATGCGATCCTGAAGAATGCAAAGTGAATCGATCCACAGATACTTGAGCCCAAGAGCACGTGTAATCCGCACAGCATCAGAGAATGCATGCGATAGTGACGAAATCTTAATCCCCTGGGTCATTGCTCTCAGCGTCTTCGTGGTTGTCTTGAGGATATTGCCAGCACCCCAACAGTGACTGAGTGCGACGTACGGGCTTGGCGAGTTGTTCGATGATTGTAAATGTATGAACTCGCTATCAGTCCCGACGTTCAAGATCCGGGAAGGGAAGAAATCTCTGGCAGGGCTCGAGCAGTGTTTGTGATTCCTTGAGCAATTGGTAAACCATCTTCGTGCTACATTCATGGGATCAAATCGATCCATAGTATTTGCTGTTGTAATAAAAAGGTACTTTTCTTCTTCAATATGTTTGTCTTCCTGTTGCGACCTGTACAGGTGGTAGCAGTGATAGGAATCTTCGATATATCGAGCTGTGGGCCGCTTTCTTGGATCTTCTGACAACATGCTGCTAATAATCTGGAGACCATGCTGCCGAGCTAAGCCGAGCGCTTCATCGATATCCCACAAATGGTGGATCCAGGTCCAAGACTTCCTGTAGTTGCTATGATAGCTCCCATCCCCGGTTTCAATTGTTCTGAGGCGTTCGAATGACTTGATGCTTTGACGGTGTATAACAGTTGCCATTTCAAGGAAGACACAACCCAAGGAATAGATGTCGCTGGCTCCGGCGATGATGGGTTTCTGACTTCTCGTGACCAGCTCTGGAGCACAATACATCGGAGTAACAGCGCAGCTACTACCCATTGAAGGTTTTGGTTGGGAACCATCCGTGAGCAGAGCACCTCCGAAGTCCGACAGCATCACATGGCCTCCGGTAACTAGAACATTGCTTGGCTTGATGTCGAGATGTTGCCAGGATTTTTCATGCATATAGGAAACAGCAGATGTCAAACATCCCATCCATTTGGACAGATTCGTGCTTTTGGTCAAGGGTGTTGAACAATCATTGAGCAAGTATTCTGACAGGTTCCCCTCCGCTACAGGAGACATGATAATGGAAAACTGATCCTCCAAGGTGTAATACGCCACAACGCCAACAATATGAACATGCCTCAAGCTACAGAGAGCAACAACCTCCCGCCGAGCCTGAGCCAATGCAGGCAGAGAATGATGAAGAGCTGTTCGTATTGACTTTCTTGCAAAATGTGTCTTGGTACCAGAGTGAAGAACTTCATCGACTGTGCCAAAGGCACCATATCCGAGCTTTCTGACAAACTCGAAGCTACTGGTGGCTGTCTGGGGAGGTGGTGACTTTGACGGCGCCACATAGGATGTTGGCTCTGAACTTTGCACTGTTGGATGCGCAAATTCATCTTGCCGGCCTTGCTCTTCATCAATGGTCGTTTCCTCTGAGTGGTCCATCTCCATGCCATCATTCTGGTGGGTTTTGTTTCCGCCATTGGAATCCCAGTGCGATCGGCGTGGTCTCTTCCCTCCTTCACCTTCACTTCCGCGTGTATTGCTAGGTTCATAGCCTGGTCTTGAGTTAGACCTGTCGTCGCTGAAGTGATCTTGATAGGTGTTGTCGTTGCCATGATTTTCGCCATCATCATCCTCATTATCATCACCGTTGTCATCTTCATCCGGTGGAGGAGGATGATCATCATTCTCGTCATTTTCTGGCCAGGGATCTTTCCAATGCGGTTGCATCCGAAGGCCGGTAGTGAAATGTCCGCTGACGTGAGCACATCTCGTATCCCAATCCGTAAAATTTTCACCACAAAAGCCACACTGTCTTTTCCAGTCCGAGTTGATGTCCGTGTACCATGTATCGACATTAGCAACGCATCCGTGAGCTTCTTTTGCGTGTTTCATCAATTTGTCTTTGCGATGAAAGCCGTGATTCATTCGGAGAACTCTCCCTAGACATGGGCCGTGGCTGGTAGTGGTCTGTCCCGCCAAGTCGATGTGGCCTCCACAGATATGGCAAACAACATTTCCGTTTGAGCCATGGATTAGGCATTCCCATCGTTTTTGAGGCCAGTGCGTTTCCTCGTGCCGTTTCCCTAATTTCACAACGTCAACATTTTGTTTATGAAAGAGGAAGGAGATAAATTGAAGTAATTGAGTTGGGAGTATGAGGAAGAGAAGTAGTGCAAAACTGTAATGGTACTTACAGTCAGCGAGGTGGATATTTTCCTGAAGACAGTAAGAGCCGTCAGACTTGATACGAGTGCACTGATATGGTTTCGGACCATTGAAACCTGTCATAGTTCTCTTCCGTTTTTTCTTTGGCTGGACACGATCTTTGACGATTTTAATACCGGACTGGTAAGCCGAGTCGCTATGGCCTCTATTCGACGTCTGACTTGATGACTCGATTTCTCGGTACCACTGTACCGCATAATCGACTGGGAATCCAAGATTCGCCGATTGAAAGACTGCATGTTCGATGTGGGGTAGAACATTTGACCTGACAACAATACAGAAATCTAATTGCGTTGTTGAGATTCCAAGGAAGGAAGCCAATTTCTCTCTGGGAATTTCTGTCGCCGCATCTTTTGATTCAGCATCTAGATAGTGCTGAGCTTTGAGAAACTCTGGCCATGTCATAGAGATTTCATGTTCTCTTTGAGAAGAGAAGGCTTTCGGTGCCGCACTTGACTGAGATAATTGGAATTGCGATTGGTCGACAGCTAGTAGAGCTTCCGGCCCGCTAGAATTGGGCGGGTACAGTCTCATGTCAGGGAAAGTCGATGGAAAACTCTGGTCGAAGCTTGGAGGCCTAATCTCACGAAAGTTGCTTGGGAACTGAGTTGAAGAAGAGCCGAAATTTGCAGAAGAGTTGCCGTATGGATGCTGTTGCATGGAGGAGTGGAATGGTGCGTTGTATTGGGAGATACCTGAGTCTGTCTGGTTGTAAGGTGTATAGGACGAAGGTTGCGATATGTTGAAAGAACGTGCCGAATCTGGGAAAGATTGGGCACTACTGATGGGTTCTAGACCAAGCCCATATGATTGACTGGAAGTGATGTGTTCTTGAGAGATTG